TGGAGGTTCCAATCAGTTCTGTGCCGCTCTTTCTGGCTTCTGGAAGTTCATAGTGCTCCTTGGCTTGTAGCTGCACAGACCCAATCTTTGCTTCCATGTTCACATGAGCTTCTCCCCCGTGCGCTCTTCCCTTCTCTTCTCTTCTAAGAGGACTTGTGGTTAAATTTATCACCCCCCCTCCATCCTGTATGCTTTCCTTTCCAGATCCTTCATTACATATGCAAAAACCCTATTTTCAAATAAGGTCACAATCTCAGGTTCCAGGTGGACATACATTTTGGAGATCACTCTTCAACCCACTATACTAGGGAAACTTTAAAATTGAACTGTAACCTATTAAGATCAATTTTTAAATAAGAACAATGAATGATAAACTATATTTTCTCATTTTTTTGGTTTGAATTTTAAAGTAGGACTTAGAGTATTGGAGACTAAAAAATAATATTCAACAATAATAAGCTGGATTTATGGTGTTCATATCTTCCTGCCATAAAAACAGGCCGTATAGGCTTAAAAGATACTATACACTACATCCTGAATAAAAACAGAAATTGAATTTAGAATTATCTTGAAATAATTAGCACAATTGTCTATAAATTGCCTGCACTTTAAAAATGGAATATTATCTTATTAAATAATAAATACTCATTATAATAAAATTCACACAATACAGAACTCTATGGAATAAAAAATATTTTACATTTTTCTACCTTTATAGATACAGCTAAATTTTTTATACCCTTCCAGAATTTTAGTACATATTGCTGGAGATATGGTTATAAATATAATTTTCCAAAAATGAAATTATAATACATATGCTTTCTCTGAGCCCTCTAAAAATAAATACTTTCCCTCCAAATGTTATGGACAACATTCCATGTTAATATGCCTTCTCATTTAAAATTGCTTCATTGTGCACAATTGTATAGCTGGAACAAGAACTTTAAAACAAGCTCCTATTAATGAGCATTTGGATTATTCCTAATATTTCAATATTATTAGCAGTTATTTGCTAGACATCACTATATATGTCTATATTTCTATACCTCTGTTTCTATATCTGTGTAGTCCATGCAGACACACATGTATACCTACATATGCCTTTGAACAATTGTCTGCACAGTTCCTTAAGACCTTAAACTTTGGTGTCAGTCTGCCTGGATTCAAATCCCCTCTCTCCACTCAGTAGCCATGTGACTTGGAACAACTTTTTAATGACTCTAAAATGTAGTAACCCCAAATTTATTTATTTTATGTATTTTTTAAGTTTTTGTTTTAATTCCACTTAGTTAACATACAGTGTTATATTAGTTTCAGGTGTATAATATAGTGATTCAACATTTTCATGCATCACCCTGTGCTCATCATGACAAGTGCACTTCTTGATCTCAATCACCTATTTAATTCATCCCCCTACCCCCTCCCCTCTGGTGACCATCAGTTTGTTCTCTATAATTAAGAGTCTGTTTCTTGATTTGCCTCTCTCTCTCTTATTTTTTTTTACCTTTGCTCATTTGTTTTGTTTCTTAAATTCCACATATGAATAAAATCATATGGTATTTGTCTTTTTCTGACTGATTTATTTCACTTAGCATTATACTCTCTAGTTCCATCCATGTTGTTGCAAATGGCAAGATTTCATTCTTTTTATGCCTGAATATTATTCCATTGTGTGTGTGTGTGTGTGTGTGTGTGTGTGTGTTGTGTGTATCTCACATGTGTTCTTTATCCATTCATCAATCAATGGACACTTCAGCTGCTTCCATATCTTGGCTATTGTAAATAAAGCTGCTATAAACATGGGGTGCATGTATCCTTTTGAATTAGAGTTCTAGTATTCTTTTAGTTACCCCAAATTTAAAATGATGATGATGATGACATTACAGTTCCATTGTGGGGATCAAAAGAGTCTATACATGAAAAGTATTACTGTTTTTCTAGAATCTGGCACACTGTAGTTGCTGAACATTTAATGGTATTTTTTAATCAACAGAAGTTCCTAATTTTAATGAAGTCCAATTTACTAATTTTTCTTTTATTTTTAGTATTTTTTATGTCCTGTTTAGGAAATCTTTGCAGACCCTGATCTCATGGAGATATTCTTTCTACATTTTAGTTAGAAATGCCATTATGTTATCTCTCAAATTTAGGTCTGTTTTCTATTTGAATTTATTTTTGGGTGTGGTATAAAGTAGGGGTCAAGATTAATTTTTTATTTCTCACCTGAATATTTAATTGACCCAGAACCATTTTCATTAAACAGATCATTTCTTCACTACCCTGCAGTGCATGGTAATTGTCACAAATCATATACCTGTATATGTGAAGATGGGTTTGTTTCTGAGCTCTCTATTTTGTTCCAGTGATTTGTTTGCCTATACTTGAATCAAAATATTTAGTTTTCATAGCTGTAGTTTTATAAAAGTCTTAAAATCTGTAAGTATTTAATTTTTGAACTCTTTTCCCTTTTAATATTTTCTTGGCTATTATATGAATTTTGGAAGTGGTTTTACAATTTTCACAAAACTTCTGCTGGGATTTGAATCATTAACTCAATTTTGGGAAAATGGGCATCTATATGATATCACATCTTCCAATCCATGAATATAATGCATTTCTTAATTTCTTCCAGCAATGTTGTTAATTTTTTGTCCAGAAGTCTCACTCATTTATAAGACTTAGTTCTATGTATTTGTTGGTTCTTTTTTCATGCAATTATACTGAGTATGTTTTTGAACTTCATTTTCTATTATATAAAAATACCATCAATTTTTATATTGACCTTAATTAAGGCCAGTGACTTTGCTAAATTTAAATTCTGGTAGTTACACAATCCTGTCAATTGTATATGGTAGATGCTCAATTTTTTCAAATACTTTCAATAAATGCATAAATTGTCATGGCTGTGGAGTTGTCATGTAGATAGTGATAGGTGTTAGTAATTTGAAGTAATGCAAAATTTCAATTTGCGTTGCCCTGTGGTCTGAGTTGTCTAGACATGATCTAGTTTATAGAGAGAAGGTGTGTATTTTTGATATTCAAAATACATCCTAAAACTCTGTGGTTAAATTTCCTACCCCTGGTGTCAAAAAACTTAGAATTAAATCCAATCCCGTTGTGTGCCTTTGATGAAAATATGTATCCTTTGTAAATCTCAGGTTTCTAATCTATGAAATGATGTTTTAATAAATAGTTTATAGGACTATAACAAGAATTATATGAGATCATGTGTGGGTAGAATATGTTGCTTGTCATATAGTAAATATTCATTGAGTGGCAACTATTATTAACCTCTTTGAACACCTATTTTCTTGAAAGTAAGGATAATGATAGCTTTCTATAGAATTGTTGAGAGATCAGAGGACAAAATGACTAGACATAACTATTTTAATTTGTATATGTTCTTTGATCAAACTAAACTTATGTGAAAAAGTAATTGAAGGAAACTATATATTTAGAAACTGGGTTTGAGTAATTAGTGTATCGGAGAATTTTATAAAGTACTCTGCATGCAGAATCTCTTAATAAAACATTAAATCTTGTGAGCCTTATTTCAATATTTAATCCCCATTAGTACTTCTAAAAGTGTTTTATTGCACCAAATGTTGCTCAAACTATCTGAAAGTGCTATAAATTAGTCTGCTATGCACTGTGGGATTGAGATGACTTGCTTCTATTCTTCTTCAGTGCACTAAATGTTGAACGAATGCTTCAAAAGGACAGTGGGGACTGAATATGATATTTGTTTTTAAACTATGTAAAAATAAATTTAATTTCTGATTAGAAAACATATCATTGGAAAGGGTTTATTTCAAATGTTGCTTAGTTTTTTAATTACAATTTTCTCCGTAAGATTTGGGCATCAGAGTGCTACAAGGGAAAGGGTACTTTAAAATAATTTTTGTCTTTATTCTATCAATTTATAGGTACAGTTGTACCTACTGTATCTTTTCTCTAATTAGAGATGGCATATAGACTGGCTCATTACTTCTGCCTAATGAGCCAGGCTCCATGCCACCTCTCTAATCAGAAAAGAGATAGGTACAGAATGTTCCCATGGACTTATTATAAATCATTTTCTTTCTCTCGCTTGCTCCTTTTTTTTTAATCAAAAAATTAAGTCACTGTCCTCCATACTTTCGTCCATACCCAAGATGGTTTCATTCAGGAGAGGTAATTGTGCAGGAGATTACTGCGAGCTGAATTAAGGGTGCTCTCATGCAGTGCCGGGCTGGCTGTCTCTGCTTTGGAGCAGACACTGTCTCAAACCCAGGCATATCAAATGAAGGCCATAGGAGATCAAGATGTCTTTCCTCTCTTTCTCTGGTAGGACTTAAGTTGTTTCCCTGTTTCTGTACCCAGGAAGCAACAACTTTTCACATGAGTGTTGGCTTGCTACAGAGCTTTGCATGTGTGTGTGTGGGGCGGTGGGGGGGTAGGCTTCTCATCTTTAACTACCATAACTTTCTAGAAAAATATGTTGCCAATGACACTTTCTCTTGCTGCAGGCCTTGTTTTTGCCTCCCCTAGGAAATTAATCATTGACCAGATAAATGCTTTACACTGACTCCTGAATACATACTAATGAAATATGCATAAAGTATATATGCTAATTAGATAATATGTTTTGGTTGGGCTGATTTTTT